AAGTTTTTCTGTGCGCAGTGAGCCTACCCTAACTCGATTTTGAAAATGCAACATAGGAGGCTTCTGAAATTTAGCAGTCTAGTAGTTTATTCATCCCTTGATTTCTCGGTGAGGCCGGCCTTGGCCCGTGGACTAAACATTTAGCTGTTAGGAATTCAGGTCAGCCACCTAAGTTAGGCTATATTGGACCACATTGAAGTTGCTGTATTCACGTGCTGGAGTAGCAGGAAAACGAAAAACGCGTTTTGGGCAGTCCAGTTTTCCAATCTTTCTTAGGGGCTGGGCGGGGGGGGGGGGGGGGTGCTACACGGAAAGATCCAAGATCCAAGATCCGCCACTGTAAACTGGAATTTTTCGTGCATTTCATATCTGCACTGCAACTATAACATCTATCGGGTCTGTACGCCCGTAGATTCCATGTTATAGCCCGACAAAAGGCTTGTGAACAGTGGATTGGGTACACAATATAACATCGCAAAGATGGCTTGAGATTATTGACTAAATAGTTGGTTGGTTAAAGATACATTATGGGAGATTTTTATACAGAGTTGGCCATTCTTGCTATAACAGTTCAAAAGTAGATCGTTGTAATATTTGACTAGAAATGGTAGCGAAATGCGTCTTCACCTTGGCCGATCGTTTGATTGACAGGCGTTAACTCCACCTACATATCTCGATTATCAAGTAAAGTTTTCAATGGCATACGGAAACGCTCTACAGCGGCCTCGCTAAGTACACTCTATCATTTAGCCTCGATCTAACTGACGTATTTTCATCAGGTTGCCCCATATTTGATTTAATCAATTAGTGAAATCCTATTTAAATCCGAGCTGTAGCCGAGCCATCCGTGGGTCTACAGAGTTGATTTTGGGCTTGTTGTTTAAATAAAGATCTAATTTATAATTTTTATAACATCTGAAGCCTAAATTAAGACTTGCAATAATCCGATTTAGCTCTTGCATAATGTATGTTTAAATAGTTTTACAACAATGGGTACTGAACGTTCTCAATTGAGAAATATAATTTAAGCAATATGGTAGCCCCGGTGGTTAAGTGTGTAAGACGCTGACTGACTAAGCAGTATCCTGGATTACTTCCCGTCAAACAACAGCATAATTGTTGGAATTATATCAACACAAAATAAACACAAATCTTACAAACAATAAATAAAAATACAATAAAAACATATTTATATAACCATTGACAAGTGTTGCTTTATTCACCAACATCAACAGACATAGAAAAAATACAATAAAAACATATTTATATAACCATTGCTTTAATATGGTATTTTTCATTGATTCACCAATCAACACAAATGTCAAATTATAGACATTTTAAAATTGATGGAAATGAAATGAAATAGGATTTTTAAACTCCCGTTCTGCTCAAAATGGACTAATGAAGACGGGTATACGCCATACAATGTGATATCTCCTCATAATTCAGTGCAAACCTCGCATCAAGTTTCCTAAACAATACGAGTATTTTAAAAATAATGTGGTTTATTTAAAATGTCTCGGAGACTAATAAAAGAAATTTGAACTATAAATAGAAATAGGATCTGTGTTCTACAGGGCCGGCGGAAGCAATTTTTATATTGGGGTGGCTACCATTCTAGGACTTGAGGCGAGGGCCCAGGGACCGCCCAGGCGTATATAGTCGTCACCCTGTCTGTCGGTCAGCATTGCGTGACTTTCCTCGTCCCCTTTTCCGACAACGTTGTGAATAGAAGCTATAGTTTTAACCCTTTCTTGCATATAGCAATTTGTTCTTTTACCGAAATGTCAAATTCCAACCAGACATGTATTTTCACATTATTAGACATATCCAATACCCGCTTTTCAATTATGGTTCCTAAATTGGGAGTTTAGGTGGGGGGGGGGGGGTCACCATGCAGCTCTGGGTGGTGATAGGGACACACATCTGATGCCACCATGCAGCCCTGGGTGGCGGTAGGGACACACATCTGATGCAACTATGCACAAAATGGAAGGAATTGAAGACAAAAGTGGAAAATACTTGTCGTGCTCAGATGTAACATTGACATGCTGTGAATTTTATCAACAATTTTATCAACTTTTAGCAGTGTGCGGATGTTTGGCCAATCCAAACAGAAGACATTGCACTAACATTACTAATGTCTGATTGTCTGAACTTGAGGAGAAACTACAACAAAGGGATTTTCTCTGTCCCACAAGCAAGGCATATACCAGCAGTAGCCTCCACCTATCTTATCTCTATGCTTATGACAGTCATAGTAGAGCAGCTGGATGTCCCATCGCAACAGAGGAAGACATGAAATGAAATGGGGTTTAACGTCCTACTGCTCTGCTCCTAACTGGGCTAATGAAGACGGGCATACGCCATACAGTGTGCTATGAGGGAAATTTTGCCCGGACGGCAGCACTACGGCCTACACTTATATCGAATTCCAACTGCCAACTGATCTTTTACGTGCACGCCAATATGTACACGAGACCTCTGTTATTCGTCCCATCCGAACGACAAGACAGCTTTCCTTGTCAGGCCCTCCATCCTGCATCACTGACAAGAGGGAACCACGCCGGAAAATCTGGATGAACTTTCTATGCCAATGCAGGGATTGAACACACGGCCTCCAGGCTAGCGAGTCAGCGTCTTGCCAACCAAGCCACCGTGACCCCCAGGGGAAGACCTTGCTTTTCACACACGTTGTTCTACTACACCTGGAAGAATATGTTTCGAGCTTGCATCTTGGTGCATACCGGTAACATATATATGGCATGTATAGGGTCACTACTGTGTGCATTGTGGCCACGTTTATTTCTTATTCTTTGAAAAATACTGACTACTATTTCTACATGTTCTGGAACAAACATTTTACTAAACTGATATAGCACTTTGCCAGTCGGAAAGTCAAACTCGCCTACTTCCACTGGGGGGCTGACATGTTGATTCTGTACCAGGCTATCCCAGGGCCATCTATCAGCGATAAAATAAACTAAAGATGGCACCGTTTGTGGCCAGCATGCAGTTAGAGGTGTAATTATTTGGTGTCAAATTAGTGTGTTATTAGAGTTCGGGCACTTTTGTTTGCCGCCTAATAATAATTTCTGTGTTTACTTTACTTGTCTGCCCGAAAAGTCATTTTGCCCCACCCACCCCCTGGCCGTACCCCTATGCACGAGGAAGAAAGATAAACAGGGTTTAAACCATGACATTTCGGGACTAACATGTGGTCCAATTTCATATCAATAATTTGTTTGCCAGTATGGGTCTTTATCAGTGAGAGGTAACCGGAAGACTCATAGAAAACCAACGAGGTTGCACAGGTAACCTTACTTACGTGCATGTGGGGTATCGAAACCATGGCAACTGGAAGTGTTTGACCATCCAACTGCCCTGGGGTCATCAGAGGACGAATCCTATCCATATTCAGCGTTGCATGACCTTACCGTTTAGAGTTACCCCCCCCCCCCCCGCCCATTTGTCATAAATCTTGTGACTCGATTGCTGCTTAAAGAAATGGGGTTTAATATCTGGAATAATGAAGACCAGTTTACACCTTACAGTGTGGTATAAGAGGCTACAGTCTACTCTTATTTCGAATTTCAACTGTCAAGGGTTCTTTTACGTGTCTGCCTATTTGTACACGGGATCTCGATTTTTTGTCCCATCCAAACAGCTAGATAACCAGGCCCTGCGTCCTACACCACTAGACCCTGTCCTTGCCAGGTCCTGCGGCCTACACCACTAGACACTGTCCTTGCCAGGGCCGGCGTCCTACAACACTAGACCCTGTCCTTGCCAGGCCCTGCGTCCTACACCGATGTTCTAACAGATTCTCTTTCGAATTTACTATGAAGTATTGAAGTCATTGGAGGACAAAATCGATACTCGGCATTCCATAACCTTCCGTCCCACAGTTAGAGGCTGTGGTTTTGAATGATTTTGTTCCACATCTGGTATAAAAGGATGACGAATCCTATAAATATTCAGTTTTGGGACATTCTGTTCCCGAGTCACCCTTCTTTTCCGAACAGGATAGAGGTTGAAGGCAACCATGTCAAATTTGTTTAACATTATTAATGTTTTGCTTTCGGATCAGAAGCTGTCAAGACATGGCTGTTATGTGGACGTATTTCCTATAATAATCCAGATAATTAAAGTAAAATCCAAGCCCTGGCCCAATTCAAGTGAAATCAGGTTTACCGGTTCACTGTTCTGTCCGGACAGCAGCGTTTTTTGTCCCACCCGAATGACTAGACACTGTTCCCTTCCATAAAAATCAAACCAGTGGCCTACTGATAAGTAAACCAAGGCAAAATATTTCGTACCAGTGTTATCTAAACTAGAAAACCAGTTATATAATGAAAATACCAAGCCTGATCTTCACCTTTTTGGCTGACAAGTAGATTGGATTGTATGAAAAACCCACGTCTAGTCGTGAACACAGTGGCAAGCGTGTAAAAAGACTGCTGACAGTTAGCAAAAAAACATATTGTAATGTTTATTTCTATGGTTTTATGGACAATGTGAGGTAGGAGAATTTTACCCAGACAGTGGCCTTTCCATGAACCTCTTTCTCGATTTTTAACTGTCAATGGGTTTTCTACGTGCACACCAATATGTATACATATGGATGTTGATTTTTCATTATATATAAATGATTTAAAAACAATATTACATTGTTTATTAACTAATATAAAATATTTATAATTTATGAGATGAGTATAAGAATTATAAAAAATATTTTTAAAACAGACAGGAGCTTGAATCACGCCTCCTATAGGCCCACCATAAGCAACAAGAACTATTATAGCAAGAACTGTCAGCTCTTTATCTAAATCTTATATTGTAAGGTTATCGACACCCTGTCCGTATCGATGTCTACTATAAAATAAATGTGGGGATGGGAGAGTGGGATAGCCAAATAGCTGGACTTGTCAGGATCTCCGAGCTGGCGTCTTATATTCTGTTGTTTTCCTCCTTCAATGTCTAACGACTAAGACTAATAATACGTTCAATATGCCCGTTCCTTTATTTCAAGGTTATGTCATGACATGAATAACAATAAAATACAGTTAGTAAATCATTCTATAATATATTAAATATGGGAGATAACGTTCACAAACCCTTAACGTCCTTGACGTCGCACATTGGTTAACCCGGTGATAATGGCGGCATATTCTGCCGATTAATGATGACATTTGTAACATTAACATGTATGACCAAGTTCCATCACGGCCACGATTCTCACCTTTCTAATTAGTTAAAAGGTTGTGAATATACCTTAGTTGTTAAAAAGTTTCGGTTTTATCTCTTGGTTACATATTAATACAACGAACAGTTATCTGCCCTTAGGACATTGTTGTTTATTGCACGATATTATGGACAGGTTGATTTAATTAAGTTATTTACATGTGAATGAGTAATATATAGAAAATAGGTAAAAACACTAAATAATAAAAAGTTCTTGTATATCTAAAAGTCACTTTAAAACACAGTTTTAACATCGCTGTCGTGAGAAGAGAAGAGAGGGCTGGTCATCTTCTCACTTTGTCATAATTAAAACAAGTTAAAATAGGAGATCCAGCTGTTTGATGCCATCGCAGCGGATTGAAAAAAAACCCTGTGGGAAAAAGCATCCACTGTTTAATGTGGAAAAGCGAAGTTCTCGCAGTAAAAACCACATAGCTGGACTCTGGTTATAAAACATAATTATTATAACAACCAAGATGAAATACTAGTGTTAACAATGATCAAATAGAAATATATGTAACAATCTGAGAAGTCGGTGCTAAGATGGACGTGACACAAGATGGAGGCTAACAAGTAAGTAGAACTTGTAAGTTTTATATCAAATATTACAATAGGCCTATATAAAAGACCGGATTCTATATATTACAATATATTGCATATTTAAGAAAGAAAAATTAACGTTAGAAAATCTCCCAAGTCGGATAAAACAGAAGATTACAGGTGGCCTTGACTTTTGATCATACCCCATTTATATCATCTGTAGAAGATTCCGAATATTGACACGTTTTTAATTTATCATATCTTTGTAAAATACTCAACAGAATATTTTTATACTGACACGCCTTCCAGAGATTCAATTTTTACAATATTGTAGTTTGTAAAGGATTCCTCAATATCTCAAATGTCAGACATTGAATACAATGTAAATAAATATTTTTGTAAATTTGAAGCCAAGATTGTGGAATATACATATTTGGTATGTTTATCTACAAAAGTAGAGGTATATTTTAAATTATTTCAATTTTTTAAAGAAATCTACAACTTCTTCTAGTTCTCTTTGTTTAGCTTGTTTATGTGCACATCTATTCTCCATTACTTCAGCTGACACTTTCCATTTTTCATTCGTTTATCACAGGAAGGACATTTTTTACCTCCTGAAAAAAAACCCAAACATAATCTTATATTATGTGTTACTATTTATTTTAAATGTAGATTAAGTGATATAACATGAAATGGGGTTTAACGTCCTACTTTTCTGCTTCTACAGGACTAATGAAGATCGACATACGTCATACAGTGTACTATGAGGGAAAGTTTACTCAGACAGCGACATTCCCATCTAGTCTTCCACGACATTCCAACTGTCTGTCAAGGGTTCTATTACGTGCACGACAATGTGTACAATATGGAGCCTTGCGTTTCTGACTCAGTCAAATAACAGAATACACTTTTAATTTTCAGTCAACTATCTAAAGTGAGATCCGTGGTTTGAATATCGAGCAAATTTAAAAATTAAACAAAACGAATAGAAGACACAAGTAACACTAAATAAACATATCATTTAAGCAGGTGTAAAGTTTTAGTTTTCTTCACCAACTGAGGTAATGAAGACGGTCGCCATGACTTCCAGCAGTATTATAAATATTTACCTATAAATGAAGGTGTTTTCATGTACGTATCTAAACAACCATTATGAAACAGATGACCACAATAAACTCTCTCTATCTGATTTTTACGACCTTTCAATTGATTCTGAAATAAAATATTTTTCACACATTATCTAATTGTTCTGACTTAAAGTTTTGGATTTAATAGTTTTTGTGTTTTCAACTAGTTTATAATAAACGGCTGTATCCTAGATTAAACCATTATTAATATTATACAGTCTTTGTCAAGTTTGTTGTTAGGGAATTAATATTCTTTGGTTATTAGACAAAATATAAAAACCATTACCTCAGGATCTTCAGCTAAAACGGTGGACAGTTTTCTAGTGGATATCTCTTGACACAATCACGTATCAAATTATCACAAACAACTTTTAATGACGGTGTATGTTCGAATACAGCAGCTCTGAAAAACATAAACAAAACATACGTTTTCTTTTATAGATAATGGAGACAATATTTACAAGACGCTAAAAACATATCAAGGTATTGTTTATACAATTTATAACATTATTCCAATTTTTTAGATACATTTTGTAGTGTTTTTACACATAACAACTATCAATGTAACTGTATTTATTGTATTTTAAGGTTAAATTATTAGAAATTCTAATTGTTTAATAGTACCAGTTGGTCAAATGGGTTAAATCCTATTTCTATATCATCCACAAAGGATAACTCTATTTTGATTTATCTCCCCTTAAATTAGTCTGCCTTATCCATCACTCAATAAAAACAATTTACAAATATTTCTAAGTAATATAGTAAATCTCCCCTTAAACCAGAATTTAAAACTTGTCTGCCGTATCACTTCATTCAAAAAAAAATATTTCTAAATAAAATCGTAAATAACGAGTCTATGTCAAGATAGACAGAATCAAGTTCCATGTGATTACTGGTAAACAACAACAAATATAAACAAAGAAATCTGGAGAGATATATTCTAGAAATCAAATAGGCTTTAATCATTTAACTCGGAGTCTGACATGAGAAAAGTGGATGTCAATTTATAAAATGAAAAATAAATCAATTTTTCTTACCTTCTATAGTAAATATATTCTTTCAACATCATTTCAAATATTATTCTATTCCTCTCCAATCATATCTCTTGGTTAATATAATTCATTGTGTTGTTATTTAAAACAATATTGGGTTAAAGTTGACTTTGATGACCACCAAAACATCACATCAGTTGATTTTCTATTCCTGTTATTCAACCTGGTAATACTACTTTCAATTTGTTTATAAATAGATTTAACGTGACCTATTGACTTGTGACGTAATAACCAATGACGTTGTAAAAACTTGTAATGACGTGTTACTAGTTTTAATGGCTGACAGGTAGCCAGTCTGTGTACAGAATGTTGTTGATTGACAGAAAATGGTTTATAACAAATCTTTAAATTTACATCAAAATAAAACATCTTCAACATTTAGTTCTAACAGAATTATTAACAAGTAAAATAAAGATGTTGTATGATTATTTATATTCTATTTATCAAGGCCTATTTAACATAAATATGATACACATTTTGATTTACGCCACCGACGAGTCCAGTCTAATAAACTACCATAATCACGACACTTGACATTTATATTCTATTTATCAAGGCCTAATTCACGTAAATATGATTCACATTCTGTTGTACGCCACCGACGAGCATAGTCTAATAAACTACCATAACGACCCTTAACATGTAACATGGCACCGGCAGAGAAGAGTAACTGTATCTTATCTAACGGCTGTTTGTTAGACAACACACAATAAAATACTGGTGTCATATTATCATCATTCCTATCATTTGTATCAAGTCCTTGTTCCAATAAATATTTTACACAGTCTATTGTACCCCACTCACACGCATAGTGTAATAAACTATCACCATCATCATCCTTAACATGTAACATGGCACCGGCAGAGAAGAGTAACTGTATCTTATCTAACGGCTGTTTGTTAGACAACACACAATAAAATACTGGTGTCTTATTATAATCATTCCTATCATTTGTATCAAGTCCTTGTTCCAATAAATATTTTACACAGTCTTTTGTACCATACAGACACGCACAGTGTAATAAACTATCACCATAACGATTCTTAACATGTAACATGGCACCGGCAGAGAAGAGTAACTGTATCTTATCTACCGGCTGTTTGTCAGACATCACACAATAAAATACTGGTGTCTTATTATAATCACCGAGAGGAATATTTAAATCGATATTTTGATGTATTAAAGTTTTGACATCATCAAGTGTACCATATCGACAAGTTTGACGTATTGATCTCCAGTCCATTTTATTGTTGTCGGTTGTTTTATTATAGTTAGTTGTTTTTACATCTTGTGTAACAAATGGTTGGTTTAATAATGGAGTTGTTGATGTGATGGTGGTGGCCATATTGTTTTGTATAGATGTCTGACTATATTTAACATCATCTGAAATTATATAATATTCATACTAGTTGATTACCTGTTCATATATATCGTTCTGATGGTGGTTAAAAACCCTGGCCATCTTTAAACTAGGTTATCTTTGTTGTCTGAACGTACAGGTGGGGTAATTTCGAGTAGGATATACACCTGAGTTATTTTAATTATATTTATAACCCTTGACCATGGTTTGTCACAACATGTGAAAGATATACAACCCCTGGCTTAAAAACACTTCAACTAGAAAATTACTTGCCATTTCTTTAATTATTAATTAAAATGGCTAAAACGTAATGACATACCTGGAATTGTCATCCCTTTGCTTTCTTCATCAGTATCTGTAATAGAAACATATATATTAGTAAGTACAGAACAAAGATAGGTTGCCAGACAATGAAACAAACTCACACCAAGGGCGGATCCAGGGACCATGGACAGGAGGGGGCGCACGCGGCGAAGTCGTAGGAGCACCCCCTCCTAAGATAGATATATTAGTAAGTACAGAAGAACCGTACCATGTAAACAAAGATGGGTTGCCAGACAACGAAACATACGCACACCAAGGGCGGATCCAGCGACCATTGCGGAAAATTTCGAAAACTAGAAACCCGGAATACCATTTTTCCAGTGACCTGAGTGAGACAAGAATCTGTTTTAAAGTGCGTCCACTGGATCGACATAGTGGCGGGGGGGGGGGGGGCGCAGCGTTTGCCCCACCCCTAAATTCACTCTTACTTGCCATTTCTTTAATTATTAATTAAAATTAAAATGGCTAAAACGTAATGACATACCTGGAATTGTCATCCCTTTGCTTTCTTCATCTATTAGTAAGTGATCTGTATCATCCGTATCTGTAATAGAAACATATATATTAGTAAGTGCTGAACCGTACTATTTAAACATAGATAGGCTGCCAGACAACGAAACAAAAGAGCGGATCCAGGGACCACAGGCAGGAGGGGGCGCACGGGAGGCGAATTCGCACGTTGGGGTGACGACAATATATATACGACCAGATTTGATAAAAGCCCAGAAGACAACCCCACTCTGACAAGACACAGAACAGATTGTAATCAAACCAAGTGATTATAAATATAGGCTACCGTACCTATGTAACATGTATTAAACATACTTTAGTCGTTACAGCTTTCACAAGGTTCAACCATATCATATAGATATAGGCCTAATGTGTAACACCGACCATAACTCTAGTCTAAGTCTTGAAGTAATTAAATAGACTTCATCGTTTCACTAAATTGTGGACGACGGACGGATTGATAGCCGAACGGTAATATGACCACATTTCCATGTACAAGATTATGTACAAGAAAGAAAAAAATTCTGCAACTGAGTCAACCTGTCTTCACAACATTCTTCTGCTAAATGAAATCTCTTGTTGACTGTCGTCTGCTGAATGACGTCACTTGACGACGGTCGTTTGCCAAAAGACGTAATTGAATTAGAACGTTAAAAACATTGACGCCATGTGCTATTTTTCAATAATTGACAAGTTATCGCTGATCAGATCAGCCATTTTTAAAAATGTATATTTTCAGTCTAGAAAATCACTGCTTTCTTGATTTGTTATCATTCTGGGGTCATATACTTAATTGTATCTAAATAGAGAGCACTGACTGTCGGATCCCCCTTGGAGTTTCGAGACAGGACCAGTGCAATGTCCAAAAATAACCCAAAACCTTTGCTAGGTAAATTTCTTCGTTTAAATATGTGTTGGACCTAATAATGTGTTGGAAAAAACAACATAAATACCCAGTACTAATTATTTCATACACACACTATACGTGATTGTTTAAGATTATTTGAAGGCCAGATCGACGTATTTCCCTGACAATTATTAAAATAAAATACAATTTAGCTTGATTTGTTTGATTGGTCATTTGTAAATATTCATCTTTCGAATCAGATTATACTATTTTTGAATATTGCTGTCATCATTATGCATAATGACTCCTACCGGTATAAAAAAAAATTATTTGAGCAATGTTAGTAGGCTAGAACCAGAACCGTATGATGTTGCTTAGCAACACAGTCGTATTGAATTTTTGGGAAATCAAGGCACAACACTGTTGAGAGATATTGAAAATTGTAGAAATTTATATAATAGATGAATAGCCTAGGTTTTGAGTTCAGGAAAAGTCACCGGTTAAATATGCTCATCCATTTAGACCATTCCTTTTTAGAATTAAGGTATAAAAGCTTCGTAGACAAATTGTAAAATATCAAGTTGTTGGAAAATTTTGTGATTTGATCTCTGACCCCTGCAGGACCATTTTGCTATAGAATAACAGACAAAAAGTTGAGAAATATTGATTCAAGAGAGATAACTACATATTGTAGGCCTATTGACGATAAATAATCCATGAAACTCTTTTGATTTGTGATAGGCTACTTAAAAATGTTTCTATTGTTTTATTTTACAGCGAATCTCATTCACTCAGTCTTTCTGCCAGAAGAAATTTATATTTATCAGATGTTGAAAGATGTTATAGATGATTTATTGTTGAAATGTTGAAAAATAATAAAACTTGAATATTTTGTGAGATTTCGAAATTTTGTTGACTTATGAGAAGAAAACATTGAAATTAATATGTTCCTATCGGAATAAACATGATTGCACGTAACCGTATTAACAAAATATCAAGATCAGTTGTCACCCTCAATCACAATCATAGGAGCAGGGGTCAATTAATTTCCAATGATTAAATAGACCCTTAACTTCTGTTGGTTTCAGAGCATAATGTGTTCTTCATGTAGGCTATCAAGATCGTGACCTAACCTCTGATTTAAAACTTTCGGGAAATTCACATACTGATAAAAAAAAATGGTTGCCAGAATTAAATAATGGTCACCAAAATAGCTGAAAAATGCAATGTTTTTTTCAATGATTCTTATGATTCTACAGGTCAATGTTTTTCGTCCTGAAGAAGAATAAATTATCCAAAACAAAGTTATTACATGCGTAATTAAAGCAACGAAAACTACATTTTTAAAAAAAAAGAAAAAAAAGAAGAAATCAACTGATCTCTATACCCACTCTCCACGACAGGGCTGAGGTCACTAGAAGAAAACTTGGACCCATACATAAAATTAGGTAGATAGACCCTTACACTTTTACACCAAAAATACTTTAGTCCTAATGTTATATATACTGTAATACTATTTGATAATTATGCGAAATTGTATTAGACGAATATAAGTGCACCAAAGAATATGAGTTATAATTTGATAATTACATATGTTTTATTTCTATTCTCCATTGTCAGTATATTAGTTATGGTATGAGTTTATTTAAAACGCAAATTAAATTGGTTATGAAATATTGTGAAGAAAACAGAAGGGAAATCTGTGCTGATATGATACATGAATTGAACTATAGGTTAATAAACACATTTATCATACGTCATCTTAATGGCATGTGACCTGTTGACCAAATTTGGTAATGAGACCCTATTGGTATGCAAGGCATGAGGCATGACCAACCACATGATTAAAATTACGTAATATTTGGCAAATTGAATAATTAGTAGCGGAAATCTCGGCATAAACAAGTAACTGGATTTGGACGCTATGGCAGACAGCCATGTAGTTCTTGAAGGGAAAGGATGTAGCGTTTCTCTATCAGCAGACTCGTCGAGTTTGGCTGGATGGAGTTTGAGAGAATGACTTTATTATAAGGCTTGTAACTATGTAACCTATATGTAGCAGTTTTTAATATAAAATGTAGAACCGAAATATGGCATTTGTTGTTTCTGTTATTGATATCATTCAATGTCATACGAGTATCACATATATTTATATATGGTACTTGTCATATCGAAAAATGGTAACGTTTGGATGAATATTATTGGAGATATTTTAAAATAATAACCGCTACACTGTAATTTATACAGCCATCTTACGAGGGAGATTTTGTTCGGCCAGCGGCGTTTTCTTTTACTCTTTTTCGACGTCCAGCTGCCAAGGGTTCTTTTACGTGCACAACAAAATGTACACAGGCCCAGTTTTTCATCATCTCCGAACCACTAAACACTGTCCCCTGCAAAGCAATTTCGTTAAAATCCACCATTATTGTCTTTTTATGGTGTTCAGCCAATTTCTGACCCATCGGCCACGAAAGGGTTAATGATCTAACGAAGCCGTCACAATGCGAATTGTAACAGGGTTGTGTTTTGAGACTCTGTCAATTGTAAGTTGTTAATGAATGGCCTGGCCGTGTCTTTATTAGTTGGTGTTTTGAATGGGGTCTTCCCATATCGCCGACTCACCGAGTTTTGGAAAGTCGACCGCAGCACCCTCTGATTGGATTAAAACGGATTAAAAGCGTTAATGAGGCAGGGACCAGTCATTATTAATATAGTTCACTGAAATTGATTTTCACCACAGACCATTATTGACTTTTTTGCCGAAACAATTATTAAAATTCGTGAAAAGTTTGTTGACTCCCCCCCCCCTTACACTGACATTAATATCCCACCCCAGTGTAATTTCTCTGCTTTTGAGCCATTGAATGTTGATGATGTAATATCAGTGGTGTGTCGAATGAAGTGTAAGTCATGTGCTCTGGACCCAATTCCTACAAAACTACTAAAAGAGTGTCTGGATGAAATAGCACCAGCTTTGACGATTATTATAAATGATGTGCTCTCCTCTGGTATTTTCCGGATGATTGTAAGGAGGCCATTGTAAGACCTCTGATTAAAAAAACAAGTCTTGACCATAATGCACTCAAAAGTTATAGACCAGTGTCAAATATTTCATTTTTAGCAAAATTGCTTGAAAAGATCATTTTATCTCAAATAATAGATTATCTCAATCGAAACTCACTGGTCGGTAAATTCCAGTCTGCTTATCGAGAGGGGCATAGCACTGAAACCGCACTCCTTAGAGTGCATAACGATGTTATAGATATGAACAAGGCAGACTGAATTTATTAGAATTTTTGGACTATGTTGGACTGCGTGCAAAAATTTAAAATTGTGTTATGTTATGTATTATAAATTAAAAAAAAAATAAATGCTCCCAAAATTATCTGCTTAATGAGGTTTATCCTTCAGCTTGGGTCTATTGTTCTTGGCCACTCATTCCCATAACGTCGACCAAAATTTTTCCCCTTATAAAACTCGGTGAGTCGGCGATATGGGAATGAACCTTTTGAATAAGTATAGTTTTGTTTTTAAGCCAATATAAATTTGTATAAATGTTTTGGTGGTGGATTATATATTGCATGCATCTAGAATTGTATTGTTAGGATTATGGTGGAAATGTTTTAGTCTTTATGTGGGTTTAGTTCTCAATATTACTCGTATAATTGAATAGGAAAACTGATTGAAGTCTTTCAGTTTTGAAGACTGTCTTCTTCTGAAAAGGTTGTTTATCAGGTTATCTGTGATTGGTTGGTTATTCTTAAGTGTAGCTGGGATAAAACTAAATTACATCCATGCACCTAGTTTGTTTGCGATATCACCTTAGGTGGAAGTGGACGTAATACTCCAGGAACGAACAAACGATGCATCTGGTCAGTTTATCAGATTCAGAGCGAAACATTCACTTAAATATAAATCAGTTCGTTTGCCGTCTTCATCTATGAAATGGTTTGGCCGATAAAAGTGCGACTGAATTAAAGAAATTTTAGGAACTGTATTTTAAAACGAATTTGGCCCAAACGTTTAAAACCGATTTTTCATTTTTGTGAAACGGATCTGGGTGTGTCCGATTGTTTCTTTAAAGCCTTTACATAGGGTGGGGAGGAAAAGTCGGGTTTTTATTTACGTTTTAAGTTATATCTCAAGTCCCTTAATATTACACAATTGTCGCTAACGCCAATAATCTT